TCCGCGATATGGCTGTTAGTACAGCCGATTGTAATACCCCCTAAGTTAGCGTCACTGTGTCTGCGTCAAAAAGATGACAATTCGGTCTGAAAAGATGCGCAAGTAAAGAAAACTTAAATTAAACATAACAAATTACTCCAAATTATACACAAACTGTCCAGAATTATTCAGAATTATGAGATTTATTGACTTGTGAAGAAAAATAATAACAAAGAGCAAGAGGACGTTGGTTTTAATTTTCGCGGGTACCAAAATAGTGGCAAATACCAAAATAGTGGCTTAACAGGCGTTCCTCAGCAAACAATTAAGCCAATGGATTCTCCGTTTTTACGTAATCTAGGAAGTTCGAGTTACTAAATGAAGTACAGGACGACGAAGCTGAAATATCCAAGAACCAAGACATATCAAAAATTATATCTCAAAAGTGAATTTTCATGGTGTATTTTAAGTCTAACCGGACCGGAAGTGGGAATTTGTTAGTACTCTAAATATAAACATATTTTAGTATATAAGGTAGTAAATATTTGCTATTCATATTCATTATCACAAGTGTAGTAAACACAGCGGGACAGAGGGTGTTGTGAGGGCTTAGCCCGAAAAACCTCTCGATGTCCCGAGGTGTTAGCTATTGACTGAAGCACTAAGCAATGTCAACTTAATGCCCCCTTATAACAAATCATTCTTTACTTTCCATCTAATGTTCACACTAACCACACTGAAACCAGTATCACACCTGCTTTACGACTTCACTGCTTAAAATAACTCCACTCTCCCATCAACACACTGGCATTTTCAGAACCAGCTGCTTTGAAATTAACAGTGAGAGAATTATAGCCAGTAATAATACCATGGCATGTCTCTCATTAAAGCAAGACGTCACCAGCTACAACGCGGTCCGTGACGATATTAAACACTTTCGAAAACTATACCCGGTGCATTATGCTTCAATTAACAGTGGCTCGCACAAATAAAAGTGGATATCTTTTAATCACAATAATGTATTTTTGACACTGACACACTGGTATAATATAAACAAGTATATGACTGGACGTGACTCAAGTTGTAGATAGATGATGATGCACATGACAATGTTTTGCACGGTGGGAATTTCGCTGCACGTAGGGTAAATTTGACAGCGCCCACTAAATTGAAAACAGGGCTTCACTCTACTCTTAAATATTCTAATTACATACCCAATTGAGCCCCCGGTGGAAAACATTGATATGTGCACAAGAGACTGTTAATGATATATACGTACATACATTGTGAATTGAATGAAGCAGTTGAAATGGATTATACGTGTACTTGATTACGGTTAACTCTTTGAGAGCCCGCAAAGTCAACATTTGTCATATTTCTCAAAATAAAACACACGTAATGTTTTCAGATATTTTTTTTTCTAGAATTTTGATCAAAACATGTAGTCAATTGTCATTCTGGTCAAAAATTTTCAAAAAATATTTAGAAAAATACATAAAAATGGGGAAAATGGTGTAGGGATAACTTATAGGTTACTGCAGTACGGAGCATTGATGTCGAATCCATCTGAGCTGTTTATAATTCAAATCTAGAACTCGCGATCGGGACGATGACCCCAACTTATATCGCCTGAATACCATGCATACCAAAATTACTCGTCATGCGCAGAGTGAGGCATTCCCTGTCTGCGTCTATGTTTACAAACTAGAAGTTGCTTTTCACTTGTAAAAATGGCGGGATCCAGTCAAGACAACTGTTCTTACACCGCATGCCCAGACTATGGCCATCTTGGCGTGGCTTTCGTTTGCTACAAAGGCTATTACCTGCCATCTTATTTTCAAGAAGATAAAATCATGGATCGGGAACTCGAAGACTTTGATTTAACCAAAGACGACGTATTGGTGGTCGGTTTTCCAAAATCTGGAACGAGCCAAATGATTTGGTTATTGCGAGAGATGTATGCCGACTGGGATTTGGTCAACGTTCTCAATCGGAACGTAGTCCCGATGTTGGAATGGTGCGTCAATCAACAGCACACCGAAGGTACTTCGGGCATTGCTAAGAAAACTTTCCTTGAAGATCCGTGTCTATCGGGGTCAGGTCGACGCTTGATTAAGTCTCATTTGCCCTATGACATGCTACCGCGAACGGCACGGAGTGGAGACAGTTGCAAGATCATCTATGTGACTAGAAATCCTAAAGATGTATGTGCGAACTTTTACTACTTGGAGCGGTCTTACCTTCCCATGACGTCACCGGACGTCGTGATGACTTGGGAAGAGTTTGTGACCAATTTCGTCGAGGGGCGGGTAGTCTACGGACCGTGGATGAACGTCGTTATGGAGTGGTGGCAGCACAGAGCCGATGAAAATATCTTGCACGTTACCTACGAAGATTTAATCACCAATCCGACAGACGTGATTAAAATGGTTGCCGAGTTTCTCGGACGCCCATTGACCGACAAAGTTATAAAAACAATCGCCGCTTTTACAACTTCCGAAGAAAAAGTGATAAAAGTTGGTGGAGTTCAATTTAAGAAGGGTGTGACCGGCGAGTGGAAGAACCACTTCACTAAAGAGCAGAGTGACCTTTACGATAGGACAATAGGTGTCGGGCTAGCTTACAAAGGATTAGACTTTTTGTACGAGCCTGTCGGCAATAAACTGGCCTTCGATTACAATGTCACCAATAGATTTGGTTTTACGTTTACTATAAATACACCTAGTACGAGTATGTAGACACACGGGCTGAATTTAATAGATAGAACAGCCGTTTTGTCAGCAGTATTTACCATGCTATGATTGCTGTTCCACACAAATGTTACTAATTGGGGAATCGTTTAGTCTATTAATCAATTATCAGTGGCTTATTCTACTGAATAATCAAACTTAAAAAAATGATGCGTAAACAAAGTAAAATGCGGCCTTTCCAATAGAAAAAAAAGTTGCCCGCCCCTATCACTCTAACCTACGTAATTATCATAATAACACATGGTCACGTGACATATATGATGTTTAACAGGCCAATTTCACTGAAGAAAGTACTAAAACGAAGAGAATCAAGCTATAAACAAAAATGAGCCTGAGTAAACGAGTAACACAACCCGTGCTTGAAAAAAACAAAAAAACAATCACTACAAAGATATCTCGGTCAGCCTGAGTTACTGGCACCGTGCGTGTAGCTATGTGCCCGATGTTTTATAATCATGTAATATGGATGGCGACAATATCAGTTACTATAACCCGATCCTATTATATGCAATATATGTATATTTGTACTCATTAATTTATTAACTAAGATATTTAATTGTTTATTTCTGTCAGCATTGATTTTTTTAATATAACTGAATGATTTTAATTTGGAAGAATATTGTATGATAAGTTTGTTATGCCGTGTAATTTAAAGATTTGTATTAAAGTTGTATTCCCACTGTGTGTTATATGCAGAACATCTCTTATGGATTAATGGAATTAGCATAAAATTAAGAAAATCACTTAGTATAGTCACAAATTCTGAAGGTAGTCTACAGTGGAGGCTGCGGTTTTTAATCACCAAACGAAACACAATTGTCATTGCTGTATACGTAGTGAGTTTCAGAGGGTTTTCTGAATTTGATTTTTTGGATAGCATATTTTTAGTCAGTGCTGCAAATTAATATTTCGTAATTTTTCCTGGTATGCCAAATCGTTAATATTTGCCTTTTTACTGGTTTAAGGTAGAAGCCAAGTCATAATTTCTGACAAAAGTGGTCATAAATCGCATAACAATGTTCATTAGTTTATTATGTACAATAATGAAGCTAATGTTCCATGGTACAATTAAATAACATTATTTTGTGTGTTACAGTTAAGCTTTTTGAGAAACGTGTCCTAATATTTCTTGAAAATTGCTATTTTTAGAGCAATTCCATAGAACACAATGTTAAAGAAAAATTGCATTTTTTGACACTTTTTAAAACCCAGATTTTTTAAATAATTCGGAACAACAAAATGTACTCCATCATTAAAAATATATGATTTTTTCAGCCTTTGTCACCAGGCTAGATTTTGAGATATTGCATAATATCTCCCCCATAGGAACCTGTGGTAAAAGTGTTATAATAGTGTCAAAATGGCGACTTTCCACTAAAATACAACCATCGATTTCTCGAAAAAAAGGCTGGTAACCCCCAACTTTTTTAAGGTCAATATCCTTATCTTGCCGTGGAGTACAATTTATTGCAAAATGAATAAATTCTGTTTTTTTTTAATTTATGAGTAGGCTTCTACCTTAAAGCGATTTGAGCCTTACTGTAAACATGTTTAAATAGCTACATGCCATTTTAGCGAATTTAACTCCATGCATGAATTAACCGTGACTGATCATGAATCTTAATTTAGTTAAAGTTCCAACATTCTCATAATATGAGAATATACTTTATTTTAAATTAGTGAAATCTTGAATTAGCGAAATTACAGATTAGCTAAATTAGCTAAACTAACATGCTAGCTAAAAGACATGTTTTACAGTATAGCTTGATATTATCGTACAAACAATATGTACTGTCAGATTGTGTGCACTGATATAGTGTATTGCGTTCCCGATCGACAAAACATCTCCAAAGTGGAAATGTTCGGCTTAATACCTCATATATGTAGCTGTATATTATATTGGAAAGCTTCGCGGAAATGTTCAGTGAACCAATCACCGTATTATTAATTTTGGTAAAGTATGACGATCATTTAGTGTTGACACGGGTATAATTAAATTGATTGGGACATTATACGGTTTTTGCTTTTCAGACGACCGACAAAATACAATGAAGCTCCAACTATAGAAATGACACAGATATCCATTTATTCACGGCTACATTGTCACTAATCGTGAATAAATAGACAATTTGTTCAATTTCATAGGATGCACTCGTCAACGCGGCATGGGTTCGTTTTATAACGAGCCACACGTAATGGTATTGATATCATATGTAAGGGAAAATCCACTGCGTGTTCGTGATATAAATAAATACATTAAATAATTAATTAATTAATAAATAAATAAATACGAAGATGAGCGTATAAATTAAAACGCATTATTAGTCATGCGCGTTCGACTGAATTTCGTGTTGTTTACAAGTTTGTTTTTAACACTTGACCACGTGACCACGGTGCGTCGTGACAACGTTGGCGTTTTCATGTCTCCTACTAATCCGATGCTAGAGACAATTATCTATGGTCGCAATATAACCCTCGAGACTGACACACATCGATTTCAGCGCGCACGTGATGTTTAGTGTAATGCAACTTTACCGAGTATTATTAACACAGAAAGAAAATCGGATAAGAATACAAGAACTGGGTTGATAACCGCGTGTTCGTTCGTGTTTATCAATTTAACAACCTCGTATGTATAAGGTTATCCTAACAGTATACTTTGAAATATATATATATACTTAACCATTGAAAAGGTCAATAATACTAGATCAGTACTGGCAACATTGTGCATACCCCGGTATGCATAGGGTAATTACACACAGGGCATGTGGTGTATATATAGTTTCCAAGGGTTGCCAGCACTGATATGGGCCAGGGAAATACGTTAATGGGTGTCGAACAAAAGTGATTGACGTGTGACAGTCATGTTGCGATGTCAAATTTGACATTCACACAGTGCCTTGTTATAACGTCTAGAATTCATCGGAACAATGGTTAAACAAATAATAATACGATGCAGAAAGCGGTGAATCTCGGAGATGGCGTTATTACAGTTATTGGCCTCAAATAAGGTCGATATCTAGAATTATTCTCACCCAAGTGGCAGTTTTTAACCGAAACCAAAAGTTAAGGCCATTAGCCATTAGCCACTTCGGGACGATAACTGTATAATCTGGAAACTATTTGTGACCAATGACAGCTTCTTATTATCAATAAGGTATGTTATTGGTCAAAAGCGGTCACATGATCGTTTGACTAATATTGATATTGGGCTCTCTCATGGTAAACCTTGCCTACCGTGACAACGTCATTTTGTGTCTTACTGGTACTTGATGTCATACATTCGGGACACTTAGATTTTTGGTTGCCAGTCGATAATAATAAAAAGGACACTTTTCAATGCGTTTCGCCATAAGTGACTAGTCACAAAGTTCTTTGTTAACAGTTTAACATAACTTACTGCTTCGCTGTTCTTTTTCAGAATAATAAAATAACGTTATTGGCCTTGGCTTCGGACATTATTAGGTATTTGCTTTCGGCTGTGGCCAATAACAGCCATTTGGCGAAGGATGATTATCGTCATCGGCCTCAGACGAGGCTAATAAATGTTATTGACAATATTGTTGGTAATTGACAAGACAGTAAGTATATAGAATAATGTGTGGGTTCATTGTGACCTAAATAAACAAATGTGTTCAAGGTTCAGGAAACAAAACTATTTTTAAACTTCGTTTCGCTTTGCTACTTGAAAAAGTAATTAATTTACTTCGCTTTGTTACAAGAAAAAGGTAATTAAATATACTGAAGTAAATAATTAGTGAATGGCTGAAAGAATCTATTCAATGCAAACAGGATTACGAAATACTGACAACCACTGTTACTAATTTTAATAACCGTGTGTCAACTAATGGATGCGGGGGAGTACAGAATGAAAGTGGGTAGGTGAACAGGGCACACCCTCAATTGAAAAGAAGTTATTAGCTTAACTTTTACCGACCCACATAATAATACGTAACTTCACGTTAAGTCGATGAAATATTATTAAATGGGTGGTGAATTATGTCGTGTGTATCATAAGGGTGATGTCAAATATGTGGGCGGTGTGTAAGTGGCACGTTGGTGGTCTTGAGTAGGCTGTACCGTGGCAATGTGATCAGACTGCGGATCACGATTATCTGCGAATAATATCAAATCATTCGCAATTGGAAGTTTGGAATGAAAACTTATCGGGATATAAATTGTAGAAGAAATATAAATATGATAAAGAGTATACAACGTGTTTCTGGACAAAAAAATCTCCTAACAAAGCAAAACATGGAAATCTACCGTGATCAGTTTTCCTGTGTGTTCTTTCCTATAGCACATATGCATATCTGTTATTTATGTGTTAACATGTCCATTGGGGGACCCTCAAAGTTGACATTTTGCCAGAAACTATAAGTTCATATTTAACAATATACGAGTGCTTCTGGAAGCTCCATCCGTATTGTAGTTCGGAACCCACGGTGCAAAGGGAACAGATACAGGATGTTTTTCATACGTAGTTTCCCTTTCATCTCAGATACTAGTACATGTACTTTAAAATAATGCTGAGTTAACCTTTGTCTGTGAGAATTGTGTATCAGCGTGGAGCGCCCTCATGTATCCAAACATTCTACCCTCTCAAGCTCCACGAACCACTTTTCCCGAAGCTGAAAGTACGGCGTTTCGCATACGAGCAAATATCGGATATGGGGTGCAATGTAAACATGCGCGTGTGATATTTTTCGTTGTACCGAATATCAGATATGCGTGTATTTGTCACCATGACAAAAACAGGTGGTGCGTCTTTCTGCAGCCCGAGTGTAATAAAACAAGGCATGATATCGCCCGGGCGTACAAATATGTCAGTTTGGATTATTTTTTTGATAAAACTGTTTTATATTCGATGAAAACCAGCGTATCCTCCGGTTATACTCGGGCCTTAAACCGTAGTAGGCTTCTTATCTTCTTTTAAACTCAGATTTCCACATTCTACATCTTGTTTGAAATGGTGGCCAAAACATTCA